CTCTTCCGAGCAGTCTTCACCGTCTTTGTTCGACTCCTGATCTTTCTCACCGATCGTTGTCTCTTCATCTCCTCTTTCTCGGGCTCTGCCTCTTCTTCCGGCTCTTTCACGACCCTTCTCTCGTTCAACAGTGGCTGTGCAGCTACCACGTCTGCTTCGTCAAGCGGAGTGTATGTCGCTGATATCTTCTCAGGAAAAATATGAAATTTATATTCATGAATTTAATTGAACTATCTACAGTTTGCGTCGTTTATGTGTCTCATTACTATGTTTCGTTATGTTTCTGAAAATTTAATACATTTTGTTATATTTTTGAGTATTACATTTGCAATATTTCAGCTAGAGGAGAGTATGTGGGTCCTACATAGTCAATTACCGAAATATAAGTGATCAAAGTTGACAGAAGTTAGTGGTCCTAGATGTCTAAAGATTTATAAATAACGTCTATTAACATATACATTGTGTAATAACATATACAACTGTAGGAATGAACCAATAGGAGGAATACTGAAAGAAAGTGACCACGTGCAAGAGAATCGAGTGTAAGGGATGTTAAATAATTCAGAATTCACAAATGTACTTATAAAAATCAGTATATGTGTATAATAACTTGTATTTAGTTATTATGAAGATTAAATAGTTATGTGAAGTTAAAATATTTTAATGTAACATTTGTTTCTCAGTATGACCCAGTGTTGCCATATGGCAACACCTTCCAGGTGTCTAACTACAGGATGATTAAACAAAATAATTATATTTACATCATCCTAAGAACTATACTAACTCGCTTATGTAGAAAATTCATAATTTTTAGAAAAGAATATTTTGGGACATAACGGGTTAATGACAGAGTGGAGTGCGAGAAACGAGTGACGAGAAACGAATGCATCCTGAGTATTCGAAGTACCTGGCATATCGAGGTGTAAAATGCGTGATTGAGGAAGCAAGCCTGAATATGAAAGGAGACAGTGTGCAAGGTTAAATAAGGGTGCAAGGGTGCGAACAGATCAATATTGGAGGTCAGTTTGAAGTCAGCACAATTTTAAATCAAGTATTTAGTATTAAACATTGAAGTCTAATTAAGAAGTATTAGACATTGGGTTGTAAGAAAGTTGTTAGAGCGTTACATAGTTACTGTGGGGGTCGTAACCCCCACGGCGTCGCGATGATGACAGTGAGATGGTTCCTACGTGCTGCCAGTTGGCATCCTCTTAATCGTGGCGCTATGGTAGGGTACCAGGTAGAAGGACGCAGGGAAAGGATTCGTTTCGTCCTGGACCTGCTAGTGGACTCGTAAATAACGCTTTCTAGCAGGCCCTGACTTAGATAGCTTAGATAGCATAGGAATTTCCTTTATGGGGGGTCGAGGTTCATCGAGGATTTGAACCTCCTTCAAGTAGAAATCCATCTATTGACGATTGTGTGAAGTTGATCGCTACAAAAATTTAAGCTTTGTAGGGACATTCTGCATCACCTCGTCTATTTTGTTGAAGTAATCCATCTCCGCCCTGTTTAGCTCGGGATAAGTCATCCTAACGCTACTCTTCCCCTTCGGCTTCAAGGTCCTGGATTTCTTTCGCATTTCTTTCTCCGTAGTCGACAACTTTTCTTTCTTCTTCTCCTTGTGCTCCTTCTTCTCCTTGTGATCCTTCTTCTTGGATTTCGACTTCAACTCGCGCGTGTCCTTGTGCTGGGAGTCTTGAGACACACCTCGGGCTAGCCGGAATTCCTTCAAACGACTGTCGATCACCTTCTCGTAGCGACCACGGCTTTCCAGGTACTGCGAAAATAACGTTGCCTGTATTTTCGAACAACTATTCTCGCGCGAATGCTGATTTCTCTGAGAATTTCTATTATTCCTTGATATATTCAACGCGCAAATCCTAGGTAAGCGACAGAATGGAACTCGGTCCTGCGCCCTGGGACTAGGAGCGACGAAATTCGTCGAAGTATGCCGTTTAATTAAGATGTTTGGTGAACGTGTAGTAGTCAGATATATATCAGATATTATTCCTTGAAATGCATTTTAGTGGAGTAGTAATAGGCTTGTCTGCTTTCTAGAAATATTTTATCTTCGTCGCTCACCCAAAAAGGGTAAAGGGCAATGATTTTTTAACTATGGAAAATAAAGATTGGTAATTGATTAGATTGGTGTATACGAAATGTAATTTTTGTTTTTATTTATTTAAAAGTGGTTGGAGCTATTATTGCTGTAGGTAATCATGTGCAAAAAGGAATATGTGCTCTTTTAGTAAAAATTATTGAAATAAA